CGTACCTTTGACATCATGGCTCAGCTCCTTCTCAGCCACCTTCCTTTCTAGGAAGGAGACGGCACCGGGGAGGTTCTCTGTGCCCACATGGGTCAACAGAACCGCATCGACTCTGTCCAGGTGGCGGACCAGCTTCCAGAAACAGGCCTGAGAGTCCGAGCCTCCGTCCACCAGCATGGTGAACCCGTTAACCGCGAAGAAAGCGCAGTCGCCGCGCCCGGCAGGGAACACGTAGCAGCAGGGGCGGGACAGCTTGAGGAACCCCACGGTGGTGGGAGGTGGCAGCAGGTCGAAGGCGGATGCGGGGCAGATGGTGCCAGAGATCAGCGATGTGAATTCCCCCAGAGACTCCATGGCGGGCAGCACCTCTACGGGGTTGATTCGCAGCGCCAGGGGACCCTGCAGGGGTTGGTTTCCCAGGAGGATCTTTCTCCAGTGTCCGATGTTGGGACAACTGAGGGTCAAATTGATCTTGGTAGGGCAGGAAGTGGAGCTCTCCTGATCTGGGAACTGAAGAAAGACTGCTCTTTAGTGTGAATGCAAGGTTTCTTTTTGAAAAAAAAAAGTATAATCAAATAAATCACAAGAGCTGCCCAAATTTGATCAGTTTCTTGCAATGAAATGCTCTTCTTTAGTTCACACCAATCTACAATCAGCATCTTGAGGAGCTTAAATCATGAGCTTTGTATTAGAAAACTATTAGAAATACACAAACCTGCACCCATGCTTTATGTCAAAAAATAGTGTAAGTTTCTAGAGTTTTGTTCTTTAAAAGATGATATATTTAGCCAATAAAGATTTTTTTTTAACAAATATAAACAAAGAATAAAAATCTATTCACCTCATGCAAAGAATGTCAGGAAAATTAACAAGATACAAATATTTGGTTTATTTTCCCCTTTGCTGCGTTTAATTTCTGATCCTCCTTTTAAAAGAAAAAAAAAGAGCACAGTTTGGCAGGCAAACTTTTGTAAATGACATCTCAAGTCCCCTAAGTGAAACATTTAAGAAAAATCCGGAGGGATCGTGACGCTGCACCTGCTCTGTTATTAATCGTCTGAGGTGGTCAGGAGAAAAGTGTCCTTTGTGAAACAGCAGCTCTCCGCTTTCCTCCACGCTCAGACCAGCCAAGATCAGCAGCTTATGAGCAGACTCTCTGGACAGCAGGGCGAACACCTGAAACAGAGAGGGAAAAAATATGGTGTTTTTGCTAAGTCACTCATTAGAAATAAAGAGAGAAGAAAATGTCGAGTGAGTGCATGTAAAGGAGATCAATACGTCTTTAGCAGAAAGATGTTTATCATATATTCATATAAATGTAAAGTCGATTGAGCTTTTCTGCAACAAACACTCCAGGTCAGTTTAGTGTGAAACAAAGGTTAAATATTTAGAGGATTTGTTTCCGTTCTAAAGACCTTGGGAACCGAAACCACATGCTCGTTTCAAAACTCATCAGGCAGAAATAGATCCACATGTCATTCACTGGCTATCCTTCATAGAGTCCTGCTCTGTTTCAGACAGAATCCTGAGCTTTCAATCGACATAGGACTTTTTTTTTTTTTTTTTTTTTTTCTTTTTTTTTTTTTTTTTTACCTCTGAATGAGCCAGTTCCTGAGATGGACTGATCAGCACTTGTGTGTCCAACACTTTGGTACAGTGGCGAAGACACTTCTGCCCTGGAGAGGCGGCGAGAGCGAGAACAAACAGAGAAGGACACAGAGAGAGAAACACGAGAGTCAGAGCGCTGGGAAACACGCCGATAGATCTGAGCAGGGAGCCAGAAAAAAGAAAAAGAAAATAAAAGTCAAAGAGAAAGTGAAGTGTGATAATGAGACGGGTGATTGAAACAGAACAAGAGGAAGGAAGAGGACAAGAACAGCTGAGTCAGATGTCTGTCTGAGGACGGCGTGCCAGCAGTGGAAATCCAGTCTGAAGGGAACTGGCTCAGACTCTGAAGTCTGAGTTTGGCACGAAAATCCTGGCTTTATTGTGAACATGCCCCCATTTTGATCTTGTGCCACCGTGATGTTTTATGGCACTGCCTGGATAAACAGACATGTGCAGGAGATTTGAAGTCATCAGTGTTTTGTTTCTAAGCTGTCGGGTTTCCTGTGATCATTTAACGTGTTCTTGATCAGTAGATGTTCTTTATTTTGATTCTTTAAAAGTCTTCACTCATTTCCAGTCCACAAGACGTCTGTTTCCACATCAGAGGAAAGTCATTCTTGTTTTCACTGCACTGTTCTGTACATTTTTAATGGGTCAGAAATCATTGCTGTAAATCAGGAGACAAGCCAAAGTTTCATTTGCGTAAAGTAAAAACAACTTTACAATAATTATATATATATATATATATATATATATATATATATATATATATAAAATATATATATATATATATATATATAGATATTTGCAAAAAGAAAACATCCTCACAAACAAAATTCTGTGTACGTCTTAAACCTTAAAATTTGGCACAGAGCAGATGATCTAAATAAGGAAGATGCCATTTTTGGACTTTTCTTGTTTCCATTGGACATCCTTTCCACATGTCCTCTAAATCTGCTGAAAATACTTTTTTTTGGGTCAGCTACTTCTCTTTTTTAAAAGTTAGTCTCCCTACTTTCTTTGCAGAATACACTGCAGACCAGGCATGTAGTGTGTGTTTCTTTACTAGTTTCTCTATGGAAAATAACATCACATGTGTGAATCTCTGGTTTATTTTGCATTTTTTCCATAAATTTATTAATAAAAGGAGACAGTTTAAATCATGTGACAACATGCCTATGCATACATTTTAACTTGGTCTTTGCAGTTCTCTTGCACGTAAGCATGACTCCGGCTCAACTCCGGAGTGTAAACAAAGCTAAAGAAGCCTTTATTCCAGAGGAACAAAGCTGCTGGATTCAACTACATATTTACAGTAAACGCATGAGAGCCTTATTGATCCTCCCATCCAACGTTTGGCAAGAAAGCGAATGAACGCATTTTCAACAATGCAATCCTTGCACTTTCCGGACTCAACTCTGGAAAAACAAAAGTCTATTCACGACTGCGTCCACTGCGAGCAATCAGCTGTTCACGACTGCTCTTAAACCCAAACGCAGACAACAACGCGACTCTGCACAACCAGTTGCAGGTTCCTATTGTTTCCCATCCTGAAGTTACACCCACATCTAACAATCGGTAAAGCTGCTTCTCACTTTCCTTCCTTCCTTCCTTCCTGAAGTGGCTGAGCTGGTGCCCGACCAACACTTTGAGTGCATTTGGAGAATCTGGGCATGAAGGACCTGATTTGGTTTTCAAGAGAAAAGCTTCTTACCTGCACCTTTAAACGATGCCGTGTGATGGGAGAGGAACTCCTGCAGAAAGAGTTCCAGGTTGCAGGATTTTAGGTCCACGTCCCATGACCGAATACCTGAAGGCATACAAAAAATAACTTGACACACACTAAAAAGTTTGTTTTAAGAAGTCTCTAATTTCCAGTAAAATACCAGCAGCTGTGGTTGCCACAATTTTATCCGTATTTATATTGTAAATTAGCGACTTTTTTTTTTTTTACAGTGCAGCTGATGCATCCTTTTAAGGACTAAAATTGTTGTGGAAAAGATTCATTTTAAAATTTATTTTAATAAAATATGCAAAACAAATTAAATATCAACTTACAAGTCTACTCTAATGAAGAGTAAATTGGCAGATTCCAAAGCTCTCACCGATTAAATGTTATACATTTATGAATAAATTTAAAGTGTGATGCATTTTGTGAAAATAATTGCCAAGTAAAAAAAAAAAACAACCCACCTAAATCTTAATTGCATTAAAGATATAATTTACTGTTGAGGTTCTTTAAAATCATTTCAACTCATGAAAAGTTGATAGCTTAGAGAAAGCTGCTTTCATCAAGCGCTGATGAAATGTTAATTGGCCCAGTTAAAGTCCAAAGTGGCTCTCAGTTATAATTTATTTACAGCTCTAGCACGTTAAACGGGATGCAGCGCTATAATCTGCTGTAATCGCAGATGATGCTGAACGTAAATACACAAACGGTCAATGAAACGTCGATCACAAGAGGCTGGATGTCCCTGCCACATTTCCCCTAAAGCTTGTCCTTACATAACGACAAAAAGAGACGAACCCATCGCTCCTGACTGCTTTTAATTAAATCGCACCCGGAGGGGGCGAGGAGGATGCTGATGGTGGCGGATCGCCAGATGACGCATCCTCGGTCCTCAAGGGTGGATAAAATTACAGAAATCCTGCAAAGAGGTCCCGCTATCATCCCTAGTGAAGATTCACGGAACTAGATTTTGTGTATTTCTTGTATTTAAAAAATAAAAAATAAAAAACGTAGAAGAAAGGGGAGGGAGAAAAAAAACGCATTGAGCTTCGGTGACATAAATATCTGCACCCACCTCGCTCGATCTCCTTCCGGATGTGCTCCGTCTGTCTGTGGCGGGCCGTCCGTCCGATGACAGCCAGCAGGGAGTATTTGTGGGGGCAGAAGTCCAGGGTTGCGGTCTTCGGCTCCTCCTGGACCTCCCTCTCCAACACCCGGCCGGACGCCATGTTGGGTGTGATGTCATTGAGGAAAGCAGACAGCAGAGCGCCTGTTATGACACGGAGCTGACGGCTGCTGTGCTGGAATGCTGCTGTGGATGCTTAATAAATCTTTTTTCTTTTTTTCTTTCACGTTTGGACCTCCGAAATTTTAGCACTGCTTTATTTATATTCTATAGCCTTGGGAGACGTCCAACATATTGACTGATAGATTTTATTGTATTGATAAGACAAGAGACCAGTGCTTGTGGCCCTGTTAATAACACTGCAAGTCCATGACATTATACCATTTGTTGTGTCGTATGTGCAAAATAAACCAGTCTCCTTGATTTTTGAAAGTTAGTTTATTGTTCTTGACTCTTACAAATATATTTATATATTGATTGTAAGCTTTATGTTCCACAATGATGGACTAAATTAGGAGAAAATAGCGTCAGAAAGTTTTTTTTCACACATTCAAACATATATAACTTTTTCTACATGAAAATCAAAATGGGCATATGAAAAGAAACAGCGCTATCGTAACTTGCATTCATCACTTCACCAGTACACGTCACAATTGTGGCCCTTTCATACCCTAACTTTACAGATTTACTGTTTCTGCACAATTTGTCCTAATTTACTCATAGTCTATTTATGTGAACACTTAATTTTAATTATAGTGAATATACGCACCAACTGGTGTGATCAAGGGTCATAATCTCCAGAATCAGCCCAAGGAATAAGTGGACTTAACGGATTAGGCCTTCAGAGGGGCCCCAAAGAGCACTTTGCCATTTAAAAATAACATAGATATCAAAATGTCACATTTGTTTAATAGTGCATTAAACATTATTTGGTGAATTGGTATTAAACCATAAGAGTTATTGGAGACCCAGACAATTTATTCTCTGCTGTTCAAATTCCAGTAAAGTCTTCTGGCTTAAAATAAAAGGAAAGAGGATAAAAGTTAAAGATATGAATTATCTGTATATTTTTAACAATTTGTGACTGCCGTAGACATTTTCACAATGCGCTGAAAGCTACAAAGAAAAGCAAACATTTGAGTAATAGTCGCAGTACATCGGTACAACACGGCTGAAAGAGAAGGTGGAAGGAACAAAAATGACTACGTATGAAAAACAAAATAGCAAAAGGGAAAATTGACCCGAAGTCATCAGTCGCCTGTGCGTTCCTGTCTCTCCTTTACAAGCATTTGAGGACGTAGAAGTTACAGGCAGTCCCCCGTGGACAGCTGCACAGGGTGCCGATGCGTGCGCCTTTACGCACAGCGCACGGCTCCCCTGCATCACACTGCACAGACAAAATAAGCGAGTTAATTGCAGATGTGGACAGGGGGCTTTGTATAGACTGTGAGTGACACGCTGAGTTTTGTGTTTGAAACTAAAAGCATGGAGTCAAATTAGAGATGGGTTGTAGTTTTCCAAAAACTGAAGAAGACAAAAAGTGACTAACAGTACAGTCACAACTCATTTTACATTCACTTTATGCCAAACTATGTAAACTCTGGCTTGTGCGACACTTCAAAAAGAAAGCTGGGAAATGAAACAAAGTGAAATAAAATGAAAACTGTTGTTTAGGTTGTTGTTTGTGATCCGTTTGCTTACCGAGGGTAACCAGCCAAGCTTCTTCTCCAGGGGCATTTCTTTGTTTCTCAGCTTTTCTAGAACTTCTTGCAAAGCATCAATCTGAAAGGGAAAACATATTAAAAAAAAAAAAAAAAAAAAAAAAACAAAGGAAGCTCTAGCTTGATATTTAAAATGTCGATGAATGCTAGAAATCTCTTACCAGGTCTTTCTCCTGCTGGGTTTTCAGGGTGAAGTCGACGGAGCGTGTCTCCAGCAAGGACTCCTCGGCTCGGGACGTCCGCAGGTAGGTGCAGCAGGTGGCCATGAGGAGGAAGAGGAGGGTCCGGACGCTGACCATGGTGCTGAAATACAAGCCAGAGGAGTGTTTCTCAGAGGAGAGTGTGGAGAGATATATTTGCGAAGAATGTCCCATCAACACGGCCCCCTTTTTATATATGCTTCACGGGGAATGGTGACATCAGCCAGCCTCTGAAATATTAATCTAAACTTTGGCTCGTGTGACACTGATCTGCAACTTCTTATCTTTGGAAAGTATTTAACCAGCTGAAATGGATTTGTCCTTGAAATTCACAAATTCAAATTGTGTGACTTTTTCTCGTCTTTGTGGATTTCTCAGCAAATATGCTTTTAATTTCAGCTGGATATTGTCAGATTAAACAAAAGTCAATTAAAAGAAATACTCTCTCCAAAGTTCCCAATATTACATTAAGACGTTAGTGGCTTTAAACCAACTATCTGACTCACTCATGAGTCACGTTGATGTGCCAAAGACTTGAGACTCTTGTGAATGTGTCAACTCATCCATCATAGCATCACAAAGAACAATTGTTTGACTAATTATGAAAGTGTCAACTCTAAATTAAGTTGTTAAACAGTTTGGATCTGTCAGGAACGAATTGTTCATGAGCACAGACCATTCTTCATCTATAATTCAACACTGTTCCTGCCTGTCCATCTTCTCATGTTTTCACTTTTCAATGCAGCCTAAGTCAGACCTCAAATTAACCTGCTCTGACACCAATCTGTAATCAAGATTTCATTTCCTCCTTCACGGATGACCTTCACCCCAACACCCCACGCTCCTTCAAAGGAAATGGACGTGGGCAAATGTGAGGTAGACAGACTTGTGTTTGCTCATTCAAGCCATGTCAAAGACCTTTTACTCTCATTACACCTGACAGGCCACCAAACGGAACAAAACTTCCTTCACTGGCTCATGAAAAAGATTAATCAGAGCGCAAATCCTTTAATGTTCTTGTCTGTCTATCTATCTTGGAAGAGAAAGTTGTTGTAGGTGGCCACTCACACCACTGGGGGGCAGCAGCATATCCTGAAAATCGGAAGCAAGCGATACAACCGGAAGTTTATATTCCAGCAGTTTAGCTTTGTGAGCTAATCCTTTTCGGTATTCTTTGGTTTTTCTCTTTGAGTTGTATTACAACCAAAAGCAACAATGTCCGAAAGAAAAGTCCTGAATGTAAGTAATCAAAAGAGAACATTTTCATTTAACGCCAAGGACATATCTACAACTTGGAATAATCACAGAGGGTTAACGTTAGCAGTGATGCTAAATGCTGTGTTTGAAACTTTGACGCTTTTTAAGATGTCTGTTTTGTAATCATTAATATTTATACGTTGAGGTTTTAAATCACATAACTGTTAGTTATTGCGTGCACTCAACGTAAACTTTGCTCCAATATTCTACTTTTCTCAGAAATACTACCCTCCGGACTTCGATCCTGCCAAAATCCCAAAACTTAAACTCCCGAAAGATCGTCAATATGTCGTCAGATTGATGGCTCCGTTCAATATGAGGTATGTCTGTTTATTCTAATAGCTAAATTGGGGGGTGGGGGAAATAAGCTTATTTGCTCTGGTTGCCCCCTCTAAAACATCCCAGCATCATTTCAGATATGCTAAGGATGACTGTGCAGATGATATTTCTCTATTATTCCTATGTTGTATTAAAAGAGGAGAATTGTTGATTTAAAGGGGAGTGGCGCTTGGATTATTCTTCATTTGTTAACAAGAGAAACTCAAAGGAAACACAAGTCATCATCTTCATTTTGTAACAAAACGTCACAACGAGACTCGTTGCTTTGAAGAAACGTTCAGGGTTCCCAGGAAAAACTAGAAAGTGCCTGGTTTTTAAGCGAGTTTGGTGTCAAGAATTGCAGCAAGGAAGCAACTTACCTCTCCTAAGAACCATGAAGGATAAACTGATGTTCTGTAGTAAGTAGGAGAGAATCCAAAACCTTGGTACTTACTGGGGGAAATGATCAGAGCTTCATCTGATAAGCCCTCTTCACAGTGCTGCATATTAACTGGAGCTACTTTCTGTTTTGTAGATATAATTGTGTTTTATGTCAGTTGCTTTGTCTATTGAATAAGATAAGGTCCTTATTCCCAGATTCAGTAAATTATTAGCTACTATAAATAACTTGAGATCTTCAGTGAGAAACGTTTTCTAAAAGCTAATATCTCTTCTGATACGCAGGTGTAAGACATGTGGCGAGTACATCTACAAGGGAAAGAAATTCAACGCTCGTAAAGAGACCGTTCAGAATGAACTATACATGGGACTGCCGATCTTCCGATTCTACATCAAATGCACTCGGTGTCTTGCTGAGATCACATTTAAGGTGAGGTGTAGATGTCAGATCATTGCCACTAACTACTGCTAGCTTTTTTTTTTGTTTCATTTAAAGTCTTGCAATATGAATCAAACAATTAACTTAATATGATATTACAGACTGACCCAGAGAATACGGACTACGCCATGGAGCATGGCGCAACACGTAACTTCCAGGCTGAGAAACTCATTGAGGAAGAGGAGAAGAGGATCCAGCAGGAGAGGGAAGACGAGGAATTAAACAACCCCATGAAGGTCTTTTGTTTTGTCCACCATGTTTGTTGCTTTTACTAGAGTTAACACAAAGAATGAAGAAGTGATTGTGGCTTGATCCGTCCCCAGGTGTTAGAAAATCGCACAAAGGATTCCAAGATGGAGATGGAAGTTCTGGAGAACCTCCAGGAACTGAAGGAGCTGAACCAGAGGCAGGCTCTGGTGGACTTCGAGGGAATGATCGATCGATATAGAGAGCTGGAAAAGAGAGAGAGGGAGCGAGAAAAAGAGGAGGACGAGCGCGAAACGACGTGAGTGAGGAAGGACCGAACCGAGTAAAACACGGCATCAAACCTGCACACGAAACCAGCCTGTAAAGTTAAAATGTTTTTTGTCTCGTCTCTTCAGAGAGATGTTGGAGCGTGTGCTTGTGAAAAGACTGAGAGACTCTGATTCCGATTCAGACAGAGAGGAGCAGAGCAGCAGCCAGTCAAAGACGTCCTGTGCAGACAAACCAACTGATATTCTCACCACTGACAAAACTGATGTGCAGGTTTGTGGAAACCCTGTTGCAGAAAATTGTTTGAAAGAAATCTCATTAATTGGTTCTTCTTCTTTTTAGTTAATGCTTAATATTTCAGTATCACAATTTGAATTTAATCATTTCCTTGTGGGTGATTGTTTTGCACACATATATAATGATCATGGTTCTTTAGTATCTGATTTTTATTCTTCCATAAAGTCAGTCACATATAGCCTATTATCACTAACTTTGACAGTGTTCTGCTTTTTTCAAATATTAATAGCCCTTAAACAAAAATCAGGTCGCAAGAAAAAATTAAGAGTTGGTGGCATGCTGTGTTTTCACAGGGAGCTTCATCTGGTGGAGTAAAGAGGGCCAAGGTGGAGAGCTGGGAGAAGAGTGTTGGAACCCTGGGAGGTCGAGGGGCGTTAAGCTCCCTGGTGGTGCGAAAGAAACCAACGGCGACGGATAAAAGACCCGTTACAGAGGAAGCAACTGTTTCTCCTGTATCAAAAACAGGTAATGCACCCACATTACAAACAGCTGATGACAGATTGCCTGCTTTAGTCAAACGTGTGTATTGAAATTTTTGTTTGTTTTGCAGATTCAAAGACGTCAACGGGTGACTCGACGGATGCTCCTAAATCCAGCGTTTCCCAAAACGGCTCGTCATCTCTCAGCCTGCTGGGGGCGTATTCAGACAGCGACAGCAATGACAGCGAGTGACAGCAGATGTAGAGGAAGACGTGTGAAAGTTCAGCTCAGAAACTAAATCATATGCAAGTTGTATTGTCATCCACCCTCGTAAAATTCATAAAAAAAATATATTATTTTATGATTTGTTTTTGAGTTAGAATAAACGTATGGTGATTGTGTAATATTTTTGAACAAAGTGTTCCATTAAAATATTTTATTCAAACTTTAAAAGACTGATTTGACTGCAGTGGTCATTGAAAGTGAGGCATAGTGATGAATTAAACTGTTCTTGTGTCACGTTTTATTGCAAAAACATGAACAATAAAAAAAATGCCCTCTCTCATCTATACCTGCTCTGTCATTAGGCAACACAGGAATTAAGAAAGCAATATTTAGACACTGTATTTCATAAAGATGCAGCCATTTTTTAAAATACACTTGTTCCAGTGTTTCTAGAAGCTTGAACTCCTGGTCTCATTCTGTATTTAAAATGAAATCCAGTGTAATATGTATTTAATAAATCGAATATTTTTCAGCAAGGCATAAAAGGTTGAAATATTACTTGAGATGAACATTTCGTTTGCACTTGTCCATCTTGGAGGAGAAGGAACATAAAAACATCCAGAAAAGCCACCTGGAGTTTTTGTTCAATAATGAGTGTAATTATGTCTAATTACACTCAAACACAAAATGACGTTCAGCAGACAACAGAAGATAACAGAGGATTGAGGCCACTGAAAAAAAATGTCAGCAGAAAAAAGTCGGAAATCTTCGGCTCTAATTTAAAGGGACCGAACATAAAACTTCAACGATTAAAATCGGTTTTTTTTTTTTTGTTTTGTCTTGTTGTTTTTTTCCTCAAATATGGCACCACAATGGACGATTGAAAGATTTCTGGTATAATCTACTCCACATCTTACAGACCTATTTAAATCTAAAGAGATACATTTCTTAAACATAGCTCCTCTATACGTGAGAAAATGGTTGCTCAGAAATAAATCTGTTTCTTTAAATTTACGGCACTAAAAATATCCCAACATCCCCCCCTCCGTGCCCTCGACGGCAGACAGCCGTGCCAGTCAATGTTGTCCCGGGGACAGTCCAGGCTGCTCCACGCTCTGGAAAGCTCCAGCTAACACCAGCCGACTATAAACCACTTGGCTATAAACCGGTTTTTCTTCCAGAATGTCTTATTTTTTAGGAGAGACACATTGATGAAAATTGCCTGATGAAAACCGGAGCGGGAGGAACCGTCGGTCCAAAGAAAGAGAGTGAGTTTTTTTATTATTATTATTTTTAGCTTAAGCTAACTTAGCTTCTCCGTGTTTACTGAGGGATGCTCTTGAGCTGCGCCGCTCATTTATTTAACAATTAATATTTCAGAGGTAAAAAAAAAACAACCATTTTTTTCTGCTTTTTATCTTGACAATCATAGTCGGGGAGGAAATTGTTGGCTCGAAACCTAAACGCTTTCTAGCTCTGTAGCTGAGTTAGCTGGCTAATGTTATTCAAGTTATTGAAGGTAGCTATTTGATTAAGCTTGACGGGAAAGCAATGAAGACTAAAAGGTTAGATTTTATTATTGACCTATTGAGTTTTTTTTTTTTATTAAAAGTGTAGTTACTACTGTAGTAACTACTAACATGGTTCTGCGTCTTGCTATAATTATCAATATATTGCACCAGGTTGCGCCACACACAGTTATGTGATTTATATTTGATCCACCTGCAGATGCTAAAATAAATACTCTTTTAAAAACAACCTGCATATTTACTATCATGTATTCAGATCTTGGTTATAGCAGCTGCAGCAGCAGTTCAGGCTTTATTGCTCCAGACTTTTCTCTTTTTCTGCTCCACTCCTAAAGATTTTGAAGGAAGACCGTGGACTTCAGCTCCAGATATGAACGCCTCATCTCCAAAACATCCAGAAAGCGTCACTGTCAGATCCCCAAATGCTTCTCCGTTTGGGGTAGCAGCTGAGCACCTTGTACAGTGCTAAAGATTAATTTGTTCATTTGTTTTGCTGTCCTTGGTGAAGAAAATCATCCCAACAGCATAATGCTGCCAGTGCCGTGTTTCAGATTGAGATTTTGTTTTAACCTGACCCTGCTTTACTGAGTTTCAGTGAGGCATGCAATGTAAATTACTGAATTATCACATTGTCGACTTTCTCTTAAAACCACGGTGGTCTGTTATTCAGCCCTTGGCTGTTTAAACTAGCTTCAGGAGAAAGAGAGAACTTTACCAGCAACTATGAGCCACTGTCCAAACATTTCAGAGTTATGACTGTATCATTCCACTGTTTTCCTCAGATCCATGGCAAAGTGGCTAAAGGACTACCTAAACCTTGGCAGCAGGCGTGATCCTCCTCAGCCACCGAGGCCAGATTACACTGAGAGTGAGATATTGAGGGCCTACAGAGCTCAGAAGGAGCTGGACTTTGAGGACCCCTACCAACACTCGGAGAAGGAGCATCAGAATGGGGGCTTTGGCTCTTGCACCACAACAGTGAGCCTCCCCTCCTTCCCTGCGTTTGGCTCTGTGGTGTCTGACGGTGTGGAGGTACGAAACCGAAGGCTTGACGCTCGGCTCAGTCTAATCCTTTCTGAACACATCACATCTTAAATTGTTGCTTTCGATCATGCATCCTGAGGTTTTATTTATTTCCGTTCACAGTTTTTTTTTTCTCTCTGTCAGCTCTCTGTTTGGTTATTTAGTTTCTTTGAATTATTTTCATTCACATTCAGGTGAAAGTTGTGTCTCCAAAACACAGACTAATTAAAGTGGACTCTCAGGAGTTTGGCCGCTGTAAAATTCCTCTCAGTCCAGTCACTGTTCGCGAAGAACCTGTAAGCATTATATTTTTAATGTTTGATATATATTTATATATATTTTGTAAATTTTCTCCCTTCACCTCTTTCTCACAGACCTTTATTTCGATTTGCACTCATTTCCACGTCTCTTCTGTAACGGCTCTCGTCACCTTTCTTAACTCAAGTCTTCCCTTTATGTTTTTACGTGCTATTTTTTATTTTTTGGACCGGCTCCCCGCAAAGGTGGTTCCTTCCGCCCCGGCAGCATCAGATGGTGAAACGGATTACTCTGATCCCTTTGATGCGCGTCCAAACCCGAGAGGCCGACCGAACTGGGAGCTCAAATCTGCACCGACAGACTGCTGCAGCTACATGGAGCCATTCGAAGCCCAGCGGATCATTGCAGGTTTAGTAATGAGACTCACATGGGCTGAAATTATGCAAAAAAGGCAAACGATAGCATGCTGTGCTGTTGCCACATTAGACCTTTTCGAAGGATTTTGATCCTTCGTAAGTTTGGCTGTATCTGTCTGTTTACTGTTTAGATCTGCAACACACCGCAATGACGAACAGGAGCCCGAGCGGAGACGGTGGCCAGTTATACGATAACCCGTATGAGGAAAAGAGCCGCCATCAGCATCGAGCTGCTCCACCAGCGCAGCAGCAGCAGCAGAAAAGCGACGCTGGAGCTGCCCTGATGGACAGCAGGGAGAGCCGGCTGCCTCAGGACGACGAGAGGCCGGCCGATGAGTACGACCAGCCGTGGGAGTGGAAGAAAGACAACATCTCTAAAGCTCTAGCAGGTAAACCCGGGCGATCCAAGGACGGGAAATCTATTCAGTAAGGAGGATAACACGGCTTGCTTTCTGCGCGGCTGCAGTTCAGTTCGAAGGAGCAGAAAGGGAGCGCTCCCGAGCTCAGCCGGAGCACACGAGGTTTGCCAAGACGGGCTCCACGTCGTCCGCGTGCGACGCCACGACTCTGCGGCTTGTTGGCGACACGCCTCCTCTGCTGGGTGAGAGGGTGGATCCGTCTCTGCCCCTGGAGAAGCAAGTGTAAGAGGAAATCTGCATTTGTGCTAATGACGGTGACGGCGTTTGATGTGAATTTGTGTTTTCACATAGCAGACCTAAATGACTGTATACCACAAAGAAAGGAAAATAATTTGACTTTAATGTCAGACTTTTATCAGTTATGTAAAAACAATCACTTATATCCAACTTATGCAGTGTCTTACAGGTCTGCCCATAGATATGTCTTTACTAAAGAAAAAATGAAGTTACAGGTGGTGTGTATTTTTCCTTGTGGTTTCCTGCAGGTGGTATCACGGCGCTCTGAGCCGCTCAGAGGCAGAGTCTCTGTTGACTCTGTGTAAAGAGAGTTCATACCTGGTTCGGAAAAGCCAGACCTGCCAGAACGACTACTCTTTATCACTCAGGTAGACATTCGGCCCTAATTTCTAGCCCAGTTCGCAGTTTATGTCTCGCTTTTGTCCAGTTTCAGTCGTTCTCTACTCATACTTTTAATCCAAGCACAGAAGCGCACATTATCATAATGTTTTATAACCACTGTGACCTTGTTTTGTTGTTGGAAGCTGCCGACGGGGGAATTCCTTCATCGTACGATTAAGGTTGCTGCTTGTAAGATCATGTTTGATTTAAACCTTCAGGCAGTTTTTACTCTTCTGTAATTTTTTTGCTTCACCTGCTCTTCTACTAATGAAGCATTATGTAAAAAGTTTCAAAAGTTTGCAAATAACACGCCCATCTAGTATATTTTTTTTAAACAAATGTCCGTAGCACGCCACATGATAAAACCGTAACCAAAATGGCTGTTTTCTATTTAAACTGCACATATTGCCAAGCAGAAATGTAAAGCAGAGTCATAAATAAAACTGCATGTGCAAACTTGGATAGAGAACACACACAAAAAAGAAAATACTTGATGGGGAGCCAACACAAACTCAACACTCGACTCACACTAAATTACAAAATGCTTGGGTGGTGATTTATTTTTTATCAAACTAATGTATTATCTAAAGTTTTCATCAACATTTCCTCACCAATGATGGAGCTGTGCCAGTCTCAGAGAAATGCTTTGAGGAGAAAACTTTCGAGTTTTTGATTGTCGAGAAGATTTCTGGTGCCTTTCATATCTAGCCTCATCAGAGGCAGCCTTGGGTTCCCTGTTAGCAACATAAACAAAAGCTGCTAACAAGTTGTCACACCTGTGGCTAACATGTCATCCCTTTACACAAAGCAGCTCTGGCTCTGGAAGACTGCTGTTTTTGTACAAAGAAGAAATCCGTTTCATTTTTACAGGCGTGTTGTTTTTTTTTTCTTTTGTAATCAGAGTTGTGAGCCTTGCAATGGGCTCTTTTCTTTGTTTTGTTTTGTTTTGCATAATTTTAGTGTGAGTTGAGAGGTTTCTAACAAAAGAGAGCCTGTTGCCTGTTTTATGTTTCCTTTCCCATCCACATTTCTCTATGAAGGTCTTCATACAGACTCTCTGTCAGTCAACATGAGGACAGCTGATGTGAAATAATTCACCCTCAGCCTTGGAGCTGCTCCTAATCTTTTCTAAGTACCTTGAGAAGGTATAGTTATTTGGCAGGGTTATATTTACATGAAAGGTCATAGATAAATGCGTAGGTTGCATTACTTGTAGTCAACATTTATTTTTATTTATGTCATTTAAATAATTTCCAAATATGTTCACTTTTTAGACTGGACAATAAAACTTCAAATTGGACTCTAATGACCTTCAGGTCTTAAAAATCAAAGTGTGAAGAGGAAAGCTGTCTACATTGTGCACCGCATAGTAGTTCGTGAGTGTGTTTGCAGACCCAAGGGTTAACCTTAAATGTCAGGTTCTCATTAGCTGTAAGCAGAAAACCATCACAATTAACAGAAACAAAGGCTTGAAAACAAAAGTCTGTGTGGAATGAATCACCTGTGCTGTTTTGTCTTCCTGTCAGGAGTTGTAAAGGCTTCATGCACATGAAGTTCACCCAGTCCACAGACGGCCGCTACGTTCTCGGCGAAAACAGTCCTCCTTTCTGCACCATCCCCGAGGTCATCCACTACTACACCACACACAAACTGCCCATCAGGGGAGCCGAGCACATGTCCCTGCTGTACCCCGTCATTGTGCAGACCCTCTGACACTGACGCACACGCTCCCGTTCCGCCTGGTGCTACTGAAAGCAACGTCTACTCAACATTTACAGATTACGTCTTCACATTTTTTCCACTGCGACCCTCCAAACGCTGCCCTGTAGAAGTTGCTTGGTGCCATGTTTTCAGTGTGTTGGCATGAAATCTTTGTTTTAATATCAAGAAGGGCGTTTTAAAGTGTTTTAAGACGGCAGAATTGATTTAATGTTCTTCAATCTGTGTATTGCCTTCATGCAGTCAAAGGATATACTTTAGTTTGTGCCAATAAACCATAAATTTTTTTGTTTTTCTCCCGTTACTCTCATGTGGTTTTCTCTGGATAGCCAGGTTATTAAAAATACAGTCAACAAACAACGCTATTATTGCCCTTGAAGTATCTGTTACTAAATGACCCACCCTCTACACCAGTATCAGTCAGCCTGGCCTTCCTTTGCTTCCTTGGACTCTGGTTTTTCAGAGGCTTGTGAATGTCCTGCAATGTTGCAGCCATGCACCCTGCAGTGTTCTTGTTTCATCATGTTGCTGTGTCACGTTAACTTGACAACAAACTCCTGCAATATTAGTTTAGAGAGTATTTACTACAGTGTTATACAGAAAGATTATGGCTTTGTGGTCCTGATTATAAAAGAAACTTTGATAGGTTATTTACTGTGCTATTTTATACGACTCTAAATGTAAGCTCAAAATAAAGGTGTTCTGTTTTCCACTTTGTGCTGGGGTTTTTTTTCGAATAGCAAATATGCGTTATTTAACTTTCAAAAACCTGACGCTTGTTGTAATGACTGCAAATTAAATGTTAATTGAGGGAAATTATAAGTCAAGGTTTGTTCAAGGTAATGTTCAGTGTTAGCTTTCCACCACAAGCCATCACTACTGATCACCTGTCCACTGAAGTGGACGGCATGCACCAGTGGCAATATTTTGACAGGTATTGATATCAGTACTCTGACTATAGATCTACAATATGCAACATTTCCAGCAAATATTTTGACTGTAAATAAACTGACATTTTGGTTCTTAACTTGATGTCCATTGTTACCATTAAGAAGTCAAGTTTTTATACGTTACTGGGCAATGGTAGCAATAGTGACAGTGGAGATGAGGATGATGAAGACCCTTTGATCCATCAGATACCGTTCCCCCACTGTAAAACAGGGGGAACGTTATCTGATGTGAAATTTATGGCCATCAGATACCGTTCCCCCACTTTAAAACAGGGGAAACGGTATCTGAAGGGAGATTTATGGCCATCAGATAGCGTTCCCCCACTGTAAAACAGGGAAAACGGTATCTGATGGGTAATATTGAGCATTAAATTGCATTGCCCTGTTTTTAATTCATATAGCATTATGCTATCTATCTATTATAATTATAATATATACAACATATTATAATTATAATATATACAACATATATATTATAATTATAACTATAACATATATTATGTATTATAATTATAATATATATATATATATATATAACATATATTATGTATTATAATTATAATATATGTATAAAATATATATTATTTATTATAATCATAATATGTATAACATATATATTTATTATAATTATTAGTATTATTACTATTAATAATGTGACAACTTTGCCGAAACATGTTGTTTGAGCTTTCACGGTGTCCGTAGTTCCTCAGACAAGCGCGCCGAACAAGCGCGTGCTTGCTACGCGCGTGCTTTCTCAGTGCTCATCACGAGCACGCGCCTATTTTGCCGCGTTGGCTGGGCGGAGCGGCAAGAAGACGAAGGGGGAACCGTATCTGATGGGGAAACGCGGATTGACGTAACACCGGCCGGAACACGGTGCGCTAACTAATAAAACATAAATTAACAAAGCTTCGAGGCAGGTAAATTTTCCTC